AACAATAAGGACCTTACGAAATTACGACGGCAACGGGAACCTAAAAAAAGTAAAAGGTTTAATTAGCAAAACAACAACTCTGCACGTGCATCACGCTTTTTTGTACATTTCTTTGCTGTCCCTTCACAACTACGACGTGAAATGACCAAATTTTAAGTTTACTTGAGAGCGGGAACGGCAAGGCGATAAATTCTACCATCTTTGTCTGAATTCGGGCGCGGTCCCCTCTCTTCAGCTCCAATCAAAATTCACTTCTTTTTAATAACAGGGTGAATTGGGATAATCGTGAAAAAGTTTAAAAGGATGCGAAGACTATTTTTCAGCGACGTTTTCATGGACGTTGTGGGATCGTAAGGTCCCTAATTCCGCGGTTGTGACACAGTACGTTTTGCAAGCCCTCTATTTGGGGGAGTCGCGAAAAGTGAAGTGAAAGCAACAGGAGAAAGTATCTCTTCCCTCTCCATAAATTGAGCGCTTTCACGCAGGTTTTTATTCACAAGTGGGAATTTCCTCTGACCACGCCGAGTTCAGAGAGATAGGCGATGAGTTCCTCGGTGACTTGCTTTGCTGTTGGCAGAGGTCAATGGTTTCAAATCTCGTACAAGTCCCTTAAAGATCACCATGAAATAACCTGAGCTTGAAATGGTAAAGGATTCTTCTACCAGGTAAATTATCTTCAGTGGAAAAACGTTACTCGCTTGACAAATATTCGCGGAGATGAAAAACAAGGTAAACTTTGATGCTGCCTAGGCGAAGTGGAAAAATTAGCTTTCGGATCTATTGCTTGCAGAATAACATTTCCGATTTCTAGGTTTTGCAAACAAGAATCGTTTATAATTATCAAACACGTTCTTCAATAAAAAGTGTAGGACAGCCCTTAACACTTAAGAAATCGTAGTAATACAGGCAACAACGCACTGAAAACACTTGGCAGGATGTTAGCCTTATCATTAAAGATTATTATTATTCATTCAAAATATTTCTCCGTTTCTGATTGGCTAAAAGCACACGTATAATTCACCATAACCAGCTACCATTGACCAAATTTGGAAGAATTTTGCGATTAATCAACCGATGACGTCAAAAGTGCAGCACAGTTGCAGGTTAATGCACTGTTAACCGAGAAGACCAGGGAAGAGGTTGAGTTGTTTTGGTTGTGAAAAGAACTGATGGCGGAACAGTTGGGGAAAACATGTTACTCATTTCACGACGAACTATTGTCTAAAAACATAACAAGAAGACAACTCTACAGACAGCATCTGCTATTTGGAGTATATTTGCAGACCTGAACAGCCCTTTATCTTCTCAACATCCACTATCGAGGTGAAAATAACATCGACGAAGGTAAGAATGTTTTAGCTTGTTTTTGAACTGAGAATTATTTTGAATGAATAATAAAGCAATTAATAAATTCGGCTTTCATAGGATAGGAAGAATTATGCAGATCTCGGAGGGTGTTATCGAAGGCCTCGGTGGATAACACCCTCCGATATCTGCATAATCCTTCATATCCTACTCAGCCTAATTTATTAATTGCTACATTTTGTTTATTTGTTTATTAGAAGAGCATTCCAAGACTGAAGGAGTTAGCACTGTCCTAGTAGTATCATTGTAATAAAGCTGATCAATAAACAAACATACGAAGGAAAGAAATACACAAGAAGAAATAGGTCTACTTTTTGCTGAATTTATTTTTACAGGCAAATTAACTTAATCAATTTCTTTATCGGTCATTGATACTGGCTTTATTAGTGCATCTTAATCTAAAAAAGGAGAAAAAGATGAGTTGGTTAGAACAACAAGGGGCAAGTTTAAATTTGGTAATACAATTGTTGGGTAGAATGCACGGGTCGCACACAAATGCAAGGCGATGAAAGTGGCTAATTTCAATGCAGACTTCAAACGAAGAGAACATCGCAGTGCAAGACGCGACTTAAGTAGTTGCGAAAAGAAAGCTTATATTTTCAGTTCGCAACAGCATAAGTTGCGTCTTTTACTAGAATGATCCTTTCGTCATCTATTTGTTAATTCGGTGGTTGAAATGTATGTATTCATCATTTCAATGCAGGTTATTAAGTTTGGTGAGTTTCTTAACCCTCCGACGTACACGCAAATTCATACCACCACCGTGGTATAAGGGAGGGGCTGCCTCGTACCCAGACGTCTCTCTCTCGATGAAAATGTGCGCGCAAAGGAAGGCGGGAAGGAGACAACGGGCGAGACGTCGCTTCGTCTGCCGTTTGTACCCTTCCCATGGTCCCTTGCGGTTCATTACCATTCGCTCGCAATTACCTTGCGAAAAACGAAGCGCCTGATGAGAAGGAGGCTGAGGGAGGGGGTGGGGGTGGTGGATGGAACCCCTCCCCGAAGTTTTTGGCATGTTGCAGTATTTCGAAACGATTTTACCTTTAGTGGAAAGCCTTTGATCTTCTTAACAAGATGAGGTATATTTTATGGGTGGTGGCGCTGCTGGGGGCCTGTGACGTCACCAACAACGGTCGCCATCTTGGCCGCAATCTTGGACTTTGCCAAGAATTAAAAATCAGGTTAAAACCGCGAGAAATAGTAATTTTTTGTGCTTTACGTGAAAAATAACACATAAATAAGCACTTTGGGTGATTTTAGCCACAAGATTTACTTTTATTGTTGAAAGAAGTTGAAAAAACATGTATTTATGCCTAAAAATGGCTTGACCACCAACCACTTATGACGTCATATCTCGTAACCATAGCAGCTGACCATCACTGAACTTGTCTCAAAAAGTGTGCGAGGGATTAACGAACAGCTACCGAAAACGTCAGGTGCTGATGTTTTATCCTCTTAGAAAAAACTCAGAAAAACCTTACGGGGGGTTGGCATCCCTCCCCCCCTTGTACGTCCGAGGGTTGATCGTTCCCAAACTACCAAAAAACTCACCAAACTTAATAAGAAAAAAAGAGGGTATGTTTCTTTTCACCGATGGTCTACAAATAATCAGTAAGTATAGTATGTAGATCATGAACATATCACGGCGGGATAAGGGCCAAGCAATGTTAAGAAAACGAGACCAAATTTAATGCCTCTTCACATTAGCCCGGTTGAACGGGCTGGTCTGCTTTCTGAGACCAATTTCCAATCCCCCTGGGTTCATAAGAGGATTTTGAGCCCGGTGTAAGAGATGAGAAAAGGTCGAAGATCCTGGGGACAAGTTCTGGCGCGAACTTTAAAAACAAAGCAAACATGGCGAAAAAAAAATTGTAACTTTTGCGCCTATCATAGCTTTTGCAACTGTTAAAGCTGTATCGCTGAAGTTAAATGAGATACTTATGATGTGAAAAATACATCAGGCTTGGTAAAATGATGCCATTTGGGTCGTCAGAGTTCATCTCGGTTTCAGCCCGCCTATCAGATATACATGTACTTGTGCTGTATCCCATTACAATATTTGAAAGCTAACCGTTTTCAATTCAGTGCTTAACCCTAATCACTGTAGATCAGTGTTTCACTCTTTAGTATGTTTTCTCCATAACACGCGCTCTGCAGGTTTGTTTTGCTTTTCAACGGTTCTACAAGGTTAGTGGGGTTCTAATCCAGTATCGTTACGTCAAGAGAAGAATGTGTTGTGTAAACCTCTTAAGGTGTCCAAACTGGCTTCACCTGATGTTATCTAGCGCTAACCTCTCATAAACCAAGCAGATATTTCGTATATGAACTAGGGGAAATCGGTCCCGGTACCCAGGCCAGCCCTGTCAACAACAGAGATCATATGAAGAAGCTCCTTAATCTCGAGGAGGACCCAGTTCGAAAGGCCACCCCTTCCTCTTGGACCTAAACCGAGGCCCACGGACGCTCTTTCACTTTAAGAACATTCACCTTTTCCCACCATCCAGCCATTAACAGGTGTCGGTTTCTACAAAACAGAGACATAAACGTCAGTACTCTATCGAGTGCAGTACTTCTGGTAAGTAAAGATTCATAAAACGAACAGTTGATGGCAAAAAAGGGATGGCATAACCAACACTCCATAAAGCGCACCACATATAGTAAAGACTACTTGTCTGGTTAGAAAGATCTTGAATATTACGAATTATATATCTTAAATTTGTTTTTTTATTTTATTTTACCAAAGTAGATCATGTGATGCAAATTTAAAAGAAACAGTTCGCGAGGGTGACATTATTCGTTTACTTTGATCTGCCAACTGAACAAACTAGACATTCATTGTGTTAAGGGCGTTTGCTGTTATTGCTAGAAGTGCTATAACTTAGAGTTAGTGACCTAGAAACGCCAATTGCAATCATCTGTATATCAGTAGTAGTAAATTAGTTAACAGAGGGAGTGATCTGTACAAAACGTAAATATCGATAGAATTAAAACATGAGTAACATGGTAGGAACCAGTTACTCCTTTTTTCAAGAATCTCATTGAGGAGTGCAGGAATACATTAACACCGATGTTAAAACAAAACAAGTGTAGTGGTGGTGGTGGTGGTGGAGGGAAAACAATAGAAACGTAGAGATGCAAAAAGGGAGGAAGGAAAATGAAGAAAGATCGTTTTTGATGGCAGAAAGAGATAGTTTGCCTTCGTGCTCATTAAATATGCACGATTGTGCGTCAAGAATCAGTGAACCGAAAATGAAAGCGACAGGATATAGAATGTGCATAATTACGTTTATGAGGCTAAGGATTCTGAGTCACGGGTGGCTTCATACCTAAATATGGGTATGGCTGACATAATTTGAAATAAACTATGTCATCATCTATCTAAAAATAGCTAAAAACCTGTCAAACCTGCATGCTAAACAAGTTAAATACGGACAACGCTACGGGAGTATAAGGTTTCAATTGCATAAAGAATAACTCTTGGAATACAAAAGATGGCAGATAATGAGATTACTGCTAAATTTATTCATGAGATGTTATTCTTGACATAAAGACAAAAGGCTATGACGTCATCGGTGTTTATGTATTCCTGCCCAGAATAAGAGTAACCGGACCCCACCATACTACTAACATGATCATTACGACAAGTGCCGTCTGTAAAAGAATTTCAGAGAGAATTGTTCCGTACCTTTACAGCCGTAGACTTCCACCCTCATGGATATGTGACCATACCAGGCTGTCGGGCGGAAACGGATGTAGCGTGCTCCACTGATTGGGTTGATTAGTGAGTGGAAAACAACAGAGTCCCGGTCGGCATTTCCAGTAAACTCCTAAATCAACAAGATGCAATTGCTGGTTTGCACGTAACGTCAAGGCAGCCACGTTGAATAACAAGAACAAAAGCATTTCTGTCTTCTGAGAGCTTAACTCTATTTTCATGTAAATTCTTTAAGAAAAAAATTCTATTTTATTGTCCTCTAACATGGCCGCCTTGTCACGTGGTTGCAAACCAAGAATAGTTGAGATCTTTCAGAGGCAGGTATCGTTAACGGGACTTTGCCAAGGCCGTCTATTGCATTAAATGAATATTTTCAATACCGTCAACGCGTCTTTATTCGCTAAGGAACTCAACTTGGACAATTAAATTTACCTCGTAAGGCATTTTATCAAATTCTACAAACAACAGAAATGAACTTTGAAAAACTGTTAGGCTAACGAGTTTTACAAAACGCCGATTTAAATCGTTTTTAGTTGTGATCCATATTTCGGTACCTTCTTTAATATTTGCTGTGTTATTTGTGCCTCAGGTTCTTTTAACGTTTTGCGATGTCATTTTTTTCTTTCACTCAATTTGGTGGCAGCTCTCACTTTTAAATTTTGATAAATTTCGTAACACTGCTCCGTTAATTAAAAAGTAAGTACTATCTAAGAGTGCACAGTGGCTTAAGTTTTGCCTTGAAACCGCTAAGAATGATATGCAATGATAGGGAATATCACCTTTTCACCCACTTCAGTATAGTATTGAAAGTTTACACCATCGACGCTGTACTGCAGTTTGTACTTGGTCACCCATTGTGAGTAAGCATTTCTGCCTTGTGTTGACACAGCGGTTACTTTAGTTATTTGATCAAGTAAGTCAATCTGCAGCCACTGGTCGAGATTATTTTGTTTAGCTGACCATGCTCCTTGTTTGCCAGAACCTGCCAAAAAGAAGAGTCTGCCCTGGATGGCAGCATGGTTGGAATCCCATTCTGAAGAGGCACTGATTTGCCTGTCATAGATGTCACCACTTTTCATGCCAAGAGCTTGTTTACATTCTGCAGGAACAGGTAAAAGTACTGTCATTTTATTACGTTCACATGCACTATATGTCTTGTAGCAAACGAGGATTAGGTAGTGTGATAGAATGTTTACATTTGGAATTGCGGTTGCAGATGAGTGTCACCAAAGTAGGGAAGTTTGTACCATTTAATAAGTCAAAGCAATGAGGTTTATCAAGGTAATGGGTTTGACAGAGCGAGGTTCTGTGTCTATTAAGACCATTATCTTTAATGAATTTGTAGCTGTTTTAATAAATTAAACCGAGTGAAATCTGAGAACGTTCTTGGTATTAAACAATTCCCTTAACGAACTGAACACAACACAACATTTTTTTAAATTTGAAATAGCTCTTTTGGGGGGCAAAGAACGGCTACTAATCATGAATATTGTCCGTTCCATCTAAAAACATGTGTCCTAAACAAACGACGGGCTCTGAAAACAGAAGTCCAGAGTCCATGACGTATTTCAGTTTTCTGAACTTGACCCAAACTACCAAAAAACGAGTATCTTTCTGCTTCATGTTCGTGCACAAGTCTCTCGCTGGCGGGTTTAGGTCGGGTTCTCCTGACGTCGAAGGCAATTACAGTTAATTACAATTTTTTTACGGCGTGGGGGGGAGGAGCGACCAAAGAAATAGATTATCTACCTTTAAATAAAATACAAACAAGACTAAAAGCAGTAACTGACCCACTATAACAAAATAGCAAAATATAAGATTCATCCACTAGACTAAGAGACTTAACAACGAGAACCTTTTGTACCTAAACAGCCATAGACTTCCGCTCTCATGGAAATATGACGATACCAAGCTGTTGGGCGGAAACGAATGTAGCGTGCCTTAATTGGATTGCTCAGTGAATGAAAAACAATAGTATCCTGGTCTGAGTTGCCAGTAAACTCCTAGATCATCAAGATAAAAATAGTGCAGAATTGGTAACCGCAAGGCAATAAATTAGCACGTGTTATATCTGAATTTTAATTTGGAAATAGCGGTAACGACTTACCAGGCAAAACAGGGGCGCATCCAAATGGGTGAGAAATCGAGAATCGTTTGAGCAGGCCTTGACAAATTAGCCCTAATGTATGGACCGACGTGTTCAGTTGATAATGTCATGGTAGCACGGCTTCTGCTATGGTAACCAGGCTGCAGAAGCATGGCGGTTAAATGGTGGTGAATGAACGGAGTTCAAGCGCTTAAAGAGCACTTTCCCCCATTAATTCGGGTATCATGTATGCCAAGTCATTGAATACCAAATGGTTGAAAAATAAAGTTATTGGACAAATCTATCAGAGGTAGTACTTTAAAAAAGAAAGAAAAGAAAAGAAAAACGAAAAGAAAATCCATAGCTCACGGTAAAAACCCATACAGAAAAAAATAGCAATTGAGTCATGCTACAGTGTGTCTATACCCGTACCGTAAATTTCCGAAAATAAGCCCCGAGGCTTATATTTTTCAAAGGCCCTTTTTGAGGGGCTTATTTTTGGAAGGGCTTAAATTCGGAGGGGCTTATCTACGGAGGGAAATTTGGATTTCGAAATCGATTGGGCTAGCCTTATAGTTGGAAGTAAATTTACCGTTTTTGCTTTGTTTTACTTTGTATTTGAAGGCAATTTTCCAAGTACAAGCCGCCGGGGGGCTTATATTTGGAGGGGCAATTTAACGGAGGGTTTTTTGTGTTACCGGTTTGGGGGGCTTATATTTGGAGGGGCTTGTACATGGAGGGGCTTATTGTCGGAATTTTACGATATGTTAGCCAAGCGGGAAATTCGGATATTAAACAGTTACTGAGGCAATTAAACAGAGCTCCAAGTGGGTAAAAATGCGAATAAAAGTTATTGTGATTGAAATGGAGAGGCCATTGAAGTCTACCCAAATGATATCCTCTAAAAATCTTTCCGGAGACCTGAGAGGTAAACCATAGTACCTTTTCAGCGCCTTGTTCCACGTAATACTGAAAATTTGTCCCGTCGACACTGTACTGCATTTTGTACTTGGTTACCCACTGGGAGTGAGCATTTCTGCCTTGTGTTGCCAGACCAGTTACATCAGTGTTTGGATCACCTAAATCAATCTGCAGCCACTGATTGACGTCGTTGAGTTTGGATGACCACCCTCCTCGTTTTCCGGAACCAGCCTTAAAGTTTAATCTTCCCTGGATGGCGGCATGATTATTATCCCATTGTGAAGAGGCACTGATTTGTCCATCAGAGATGACATAGCTTTCCATACCAAGCGGATCTTTGCATGCTTTAAGTCAACATAAAGAATACGTATTTAAATTTAAGAAAAGATGTCGATGCTATAGAGAAAACGATTTAGTCGGATTAACGGTAAAATAACTGAAATGCAAAAAGGAACGTCTTAAGTCCATAGTAATCAAGTAAAGTTGTTTGAAACCATAATGACATCTGTTGTTACCTTACGTGAAAGCAAAAACAAAAGGAAAAGCGAGTACAGTCTGTACAGTCGAACCTCCACTAACCACCACCTTACCAGAACGTCGACTTTTTTAGGACACCCCATACGTACCCACGTTTTTATATAGACGCCAGAAGACTCTGAGGACGCGCGACACCGAACTAGACGAGGGAGGGACTATATTCTCCCTCGCGCGTTTTCCTCGTTGGTTTGCACACGCGACAATCTAGAGGGACTGCGAGCAGTCCATTTTTATGATGTCGTTTGGGATCTAAAACAATGTTTAACGGTGTTTAAGGATACCATGAAAGAGAAATAATAAATCATTTACAAAACAGGAAACGTTAAACCAATCAATTGAAGTCCAACTTCTCTTAACTGGCATCACTATATACGAACACCTCTCTATAGCTGACAGTCGTCTTGATCCCAAAGATAGAGAAAAAATGTCAAACGTCATGCATCCATCACCCCTTTAGTGCGAACACTTGGATCTAGCAGTCCCTTTGGTGGCCGTATTAGGGAGGTTTGGCTGTATATTAAACAAGTTTACACTTACCAACACTTTGGCTGTCTACTACAGTGAAGCACACCAAAAGGAACTGGCAAACTGTAAGGATAATCATTTTTTACCTATGGAGAAAAAATGCTTTTATGCAGTAATTTCAGAGTAAAATATTAAGTTTGTAGCAATGAAATTTGCTCATCCTCGCTGTAAGAACCTGTTAAACTCACGCGTGACTGATAAAAAAAAAAGAAGAAAGCAAAGAAGTCAAAACAATAGAACCTAGAAAAGCAACAGGTGAGAAACATAAAAAGAAGTTTACAGGTTCTTACACCGAAATTACATTAACGTACCTTGTTGCTTGCTTTGAGATGAACGAGAGCATCGAACAACGAAGAAATTGTTTTAAGTAGACGATCATAATGCAAGAAAATAACTCATTATTAATGTTAATACTTTATTTATTTATTCAGCTTGGCTTCATAGTAGAGAAAATTTCACCCTGGAAATTAGAAGTATAATGAATACAAAGGACATAAATTGTTTTGCTTTGTTTTTATTTTCTCTGCATAAAACCTAACAAGTAGCTTGACCGGTTCGTCTCCATAATACCACACATACCTGTCTCATGTGTTAACTGACATTTCGTAAACTTGTTTTGGATATTTTTTCTTACGCAGTGAAAGTCACGGATATTTAAACCAAAATAAACAAGAATTTTAATAACTTGAATGTTTGTTTTCTGCATAAAATTCTTGAGAGAACAGAGACATCATGAATGAATGACTCAGTGAAATGTTGCACAGTTTTTCAATAGCAAAGTTTCTTCGTAAAACTTGAAAGCGTGAAAAGATTAAAGGGTTTGAGTGGTATTTTAAATTTCATTTGCATATTTTGGCTGCAGGTGTATTAACTTAGAGTTTTAAATAATTATATGTTTCCAAATAATTAGTAAGAAAGTCTTGATACAATTACCAATGCAAGGACCGTTTCCCATGAATGCGTGGTTTCATTTAATTCGTAAATTGGAATAAAAGTCCTGACATTAAAAATCAAGTACAAAATCTTATTAAAATCTTTTTCAAATATTAAACACTTTTTAAAATATTTCCATTAATGTAACTATGAGATATTTTAACTTTCAAGTGCTTTTAGTAATAAAATAACTTATTCAAAGCCTTGGTTGCTACTTTCAAGGCCTAGTTGCGCCGTTACATCATCATGCAAGGTTGCAAACTAATGAGAGAGTATCCTAACGATGTAGAGGTCCATCGAAAGAAGACAATTTGAGTGCTTTTGAACATTATTTGTCGTTTACTTCTTGTAAATTTGAAAATGATGCAATACGATATTGTGTTTTATGCTTACGGAGGTATTTTTCCGCCTGCAGGTATGGAAAAGGGCATCAAATATGTCCAAAATCAGTCGAGCGTAATGCTACTTTCGAGCATAATTTTAGGTATAATGCTGTTGTTTTGAGGGTGACGCTCTAAAGCATACTGCTCAAATTTTCGAGCATAATGTATCTGACCCTAAGACTCATTATTGAGGCCATACTACAATAGCGTTCGACTACATTCAAGACTGTACTTCTTAGTCCGCCGAGCCTGACAAGAAAAACCAATCACCAGATGTACGCTTTTTTTTCTTTTACAAAGTGGGAGCCGATGTCCTTAAACTTCATACTTTTTTACGCAATAAGCATAGGCGTACGGGCCGGGGGGGCGAGGGGGGCTGCAGCCCCCCCAAATTTTGGGCAACTCAGATTTTTTGGGCAGCAAGAGAAAATTTGGGCAAAGCCAACTTTTAAAGACGTTTCATGTTTTTTTATGAGTATTTTGGAGAGATAAATATTTTCTATTTTAACCTGAAGTCGGCGTAACAATCAAGTTACATTCACTCGAGACAATGGTTGCCAAGCACGTGATGAGTTTCTGTTTATAAGGGAAGGGTTTTTTTTTTGTATCGTTGGGCACTGGGCTGCAATGGGCTATTTCCAATCGGGAATTGATTAGGATGAACTTCCGCCTAACTTTCTAGGATCATCTTCGCTCGTAGACCAGTGTATGGCAGATAGGATCAGCGATTAATCTGAAAGTGAAGAAGTGGCTGACTAATTCTCACTTTGAATTACGAGATGAATCTTAATGTTTTTTAAAAAATCTATCAAGTGCTTCAAATTATTCACTAATTTGTTAAAGTAGACCGAAATGTTTACAAAACCGCTAACAAGAGCGCCATGATACATACTAATGAAATCCTTCTTTGTAGGAATTTTGAAATATCACTCATGATATATGCCAAATATCACTACAAATCATGCTATTACCTATACAATGTACAAATAACTCACACACATTTTTAAAAAGATTGAACCTACTATGAGGTGAAATTGCATGTCAAAAGCGCTTCGTTTTCTACAGATAGCGGCTAAACAACAAGATTTTCCTTGTTTTACTGTATTTCTAACGATAAAAACTTTATCCCAAACTATCCCGATAACGCTCTTACAGACTCCGTTTTAACTTCACAAACACCGAGGCGACTATTGGAGGAAAAAGCTCCCGAGAACGATTTCATATTGAGAAATAATGCTGCAAGTATAATAGGTAATGGCGTCATTTCGTTGCTATGACAACTCCGATGTCATTGCAACCCTGATCATGACAAATTTTCATCTTTATCTAACACAACTGTGGCGGCAATTTTTCCAAATGTTTGTCTATGGCAACGTATAGTTTATGCTCAAACTTGGCAGGTATATATTGACCCTGAAAAACTGTATTGCGGCACTTTCGTATGCCAGTACGGCCTATGTTTTTGCATCGTATGGCCCTTGTGTCTTCTCGACTGTTTTGTAAAAATTTGGGCAACTTGCAAGAATTTTTTGGGCAAATGGTTTACCGCCCCCCCTGGCCGAAAATTGCCCGTACGCCTATGCGCTTAAGTGGGCCCCACTGTTCAAAGAAAGTCGCGTCTAGTGAAAAATGCTATTACTATTTTGGATAGAAATTTCTGATATCGGCTTTTGATGATATGGTATGTATGCCAAATAAACTTTAGAAAAATAGTTGCAGGAGAAGTCCGCAAATATAAAGTCATTCCGAATGCAGCTGTGAAGTTGTCTTAGAATTTAAAAAACAAATTGCTCTGAGATAGAAACAGCAACCAATTCCAATTTTCGGAACGAGTGTTGCATGCTCCTGGGCCTGCTTAACTTATCATGAAAAGCAACAGGGGCACCCAACGGCAATTTTCGGAAAAACATCTGTTCGGAAGGCTATTTGAGACCTAGAATTTTCGGAACATTTGTTGTAAAATTTCTTGCTTGCCTACCCATCCTAGGATTTTCGGACATCTAAAAAATGGTATAATTGCCTATTTTAAACGGATTTTTACCCTAAAAAGGTCACCTAGAATTTTTGGGAGCCTTTTTTCTGGCTAAAATTTTCGAAAAGGTAAGTTTTGATCCCTATAATTTTCGGATCACTTGACTTTCAGCTAGCAAATCCGAACAGATGAAAAATTTTTAGGGGGATAAAAATATGCCTATATCTACCGTTTAAATACTACAATACGTTTAACAATTCTATGTTTAAGTGGTTTCGAACTATATCCTGGTTGGGTGCCCCTGAAGCAATCCGATCGGCATTCGTGCCATTGTTTAAAACGTACTATTTAGTTTTGTAAACACTGTTGATTCCTTCAAACCTTTCTCTGCAGTCGAGTGATTTATTCTTCCTCATTTTTGAAATATCCTTCAGCAGTTTTGGTTAAAAACCCCACTACATTCATTTCAATATAATTAAATGTATGTGCGCTGTCTCCAATTAAAAAATACGCATGGCTATGGAACGTGCATAGGCGGCAGTTCTGTGAGGAAAAGTCCATTTTACAGTTACAAGCTATTGACAAGTTTTATTGCAACGTCCATGAGGAATACAAGAACAGCTTTCCCTCTAAACAGGTCAAAATGTCATCAAAAGACCCTTCTTTTATGTCGCCTTGTTAAAACATCTTCTGTCTAAAAGGAACAAGCTACTGAGGGAAGGGATGGTATAGGAGGCTGGTTTCTTTCAACCGAGAATAACCGAGCTTATGAAAGAGAATCAGTTCAATCTGACCAAGGTTAACAAGCAAACACATGACATGGGCAGCAAATCTTGGTGGAAAGTGGTAGATAAATTAACTGGACGTGTTGAATCAAGTATGAGTCTCTCATCTCTATACCGCATGAACGACATTAACACTCACTTTCAGTCAATCAACACGGACCCAGATTATGTCGAACCTACACAGTTCGAGATTAAGGAGCTTCGTAAAGTTCCTGTGATTCATGAAATATCGATCTTCAAGGCATTGTCGCATGTGAAAAAGACTGCCGGTAACCCAGGTGGCTTGCCTTTTTGGTTTTGGAGGAGTATGCCTTGGAACTCATACATGTGATAACAGATACTTTGAATGTTTCCTTAGTCACCCATCAATTCCATAAGATTTGGAAGACTGCAAAGGTGCGACCTTTTCCTAAGGACACCAATAGTTCTGCTTTAGACCAGCTTAGACCAATATCAGCCACTGACATTATAATGAGCCTTTCTGAAAGAAAGATTAATCCTGGATTTCGAATTGAGGAAACAGCACCTTCCTGCTTTCATCAATCAGATCGGTTTGCCTATAAGAAGGATTGTGGAACCGAGACTGCCCTGTTATATAATCATCACTTTTGAATGAGATGGCTTGATGGCCATTCCAACTTTGTAAGAGTTCTGTCTTTTGACTTCTCAAAAGCCTTTGACTCAGTTTCCCATGGAATAGTAACTGATAAACTTAAGAAAGTGCCTGATATTAACTCTTATATTGTTAATTGGGTTATTGACTTTTTAAAAGGTCGTCAGCAAAGAGTATGGGTAGGCAAAGTCATTGCTCTATTCTTGGCTGTCAATCGCGGTGTACCCCAAGGCACTGTTGTGGGGCCTGTTCTTCTAACCATTATGGTTAATGATACAAGTCCCACCTCCCAGGGTACCTTGATGACTAAGTACGCTGATGACATTATGTGTAGTATACCAGTTGGGCCTAGTGATAGTGCCTCTGAGGAGGTGGAAAATATTAAAGTCTGGGCAGAGGAGAATTTGATGAAACTTACTCCAAGTAAGACCAAGCAACTGGTCATAAAAGAAAGAACAACCTTGCCCCTTCCTAAACCAATTGTTACCATTAAACGTGTGTTATATCTGAAGTTTCTAGGAGTGACATTTCAGGATATTCCTACCAACTAGGATAAGCATTTTGATGATTTGATGGAAATAGCTCTAAAGCGTGTGTAAAAGTAATGGTTATAGTGTATCTGACCTAGATTACCTCTTTAATTGCCTCATTAAGTCACTGTTCACTTACTGTATCAGAGTTTTGGGTGTTGCAGCTTATACCAAATACCTTAGTGAAATTGATGGGCTATTAAGAAGGGCCTTTCGTTTCGGGTATATTCAACATGAAACATCGATCCAACAGGTTATTGAAGACAGGGATTTGATGGTCTGGAAAAGTATGTGGGTACTCCCTCGCATCCCCTGCAGGATCTTTTCCCCCCACTTAAGAACAGGGCTCCAAGCTGTAGGTCGCATCCTTACCAGGTCCCATGTGTTAATACTGAGAGGTTTAAGAAATGCTTTATAAATAGATGTCTCTTTGCTTTTATATAGATTGTAATTTAGTATTTTCTCGTCTTAGACAGTTTTTATCCTCACTTTATAATAGAACTTGTAAGTTTTAACGTTTGTTTAAAACCTTGAATAAAGACCTTTATTATTATTATTATTATTATTATTATCAAGTGGAAAGGAGGCTGAAGCTGACCTTGTTTTGATACAACCCTTCCTCCTTTATCATGTTAATCATGTTGTTCTTATGCAAACTAGTATTTTTCATCATATTTTCATACGAAAATGGAGGAAGGAGGTTTTTATCAAAGTAAGATCACATCAGCCTCACGTAAACTTCGAGGCTGGGGTACTAAGCCCATAGCTGTAAAATGGTCTATTGGCAAGTCAGCAGGGGGGAAAAACCGCAATGAAGCCAATGCCTTTGCGAACCAAATTATATCACAATTCAAAATAACATTCTCAAAAAAAATTACCACCCGTGTATAATTGTATAACTCTGTACAAATTTCGCGATTTATTTCTTTAATGGCTGGGTAGTATTTTTCTTGGTCACTGATGGTTATTAGCAGGCTCTCTCGCTTAAAATTTTGCATTTCAAGTACTCTCGCGTTTCGGCAGTAAATGACATAGCCACCAGGACTTTTAGAGATAAAAAACAACAACAACTAAGCCGATTCTTTTTTCCGATTACATTGACGTGAATAACAGAGACAGAGCCGAGGAGCGAGATATTAAAAACAAAGGAGACCAATTTCGTTGGACGAATAGCATGAAAATCTTATAACGGCGGTGAGAAATTGGGAAATGCTAGTGGCCATCGAGGTGAAAGATGAGTGGCAGCTCCGGGGGGGGGACTCCGCATATGAAAGGGGTAGGGATGCTCGTCGGAAATTTTGAATTAAACCCTAGAGGAGACCTATCTGGGCGTGGCCCAATCTTTTTTTGTCCCCTAAAAGAGACCACGTTACAGGTTATATTTTTATATTTTTTCGCGTGCAACCCTAAACGAGACCTTCACTGCTAAATATGATGGCGTTTTGCCCAGAACACGCTAAGTGAGACCAAAATCCGAAATTTACACCCCTAAGCGAGACGACGAGCATCCCCACCACTCCCCGGGGTGGCGGCAAACACATTCAGGAAACGGGAACAGGAACAAATACAACATTTCCTCCACAAACCGTGTAACTAGGAAGTTTCTGAAAGTTCCACGTTGTAGTCGTACAAAACAACGGCAAAGAAATATACAAAAAAAAGTGTGCTGCACTTATAAATTTGTCTTTTTGCTAATTAGACCTACTGATTCTTTGGAGGGCTGTTTTCGTTTCCGTCGCCGCTTATTAGCATTACTCGATTTTATTGTTTGTTTGAGTAAACTGTAGATATTAACGAGAGCTTCGCTTTTAGTCCTGGCTGAATCTATATATTATATTTTGTTTTGCTACACACACATTCGTAGGCATAGACATCATGGTCGTTCGTCCTCCTGTCAGGGGTGTGAATTCTCCTTTTGCACATCTCCCATAATGCACCTCATTTGCCCCCTAAAATTGTCATTCACAGCGATAAATTTGTAATAAAGGTGTAATGAAGGTGTAATTGTAATAAAGGTAACGACGACTTTAATGAAATCTCAGTAAATGGTGCTATTGTAGGACGTACTTACGTACTTCAGTAGTATAGTACTGACAGGGGATAAGACGGCAAAACCGTCCTCAAAACGCATTTTAATAAGGGACTGTGCAATAATTGTCAGGGGGGGGCTGAAAAACTAGAGTTATCTAGCAAAAACTTAGACAGTACCCCCCAACAACAACAGCGTTCACCTATTCCTACCATCCAGATTCCTGCACCCCCCCTCCCTGCTCCCCACCAAAAAAGGATAATTTGGTTTCTTTTATACTTCTTCAGTTCTCTATACTTTAAAAGTGAATTTTTTTTATAAATGTAATCCAATCGCGATGCCCCAAATCCCTTTTTCCACTTGGAAACCTTTCCATTCGATCTGTATAAGAAGAGTAGTTCACTGGATGCAGCTCGTTATCTGTCGCTTGAGGCGGCAACAATAAGGTTCATTTGAAAGTTGTAGCCATCGACGCTTTTACAAGATCCGAGTTAAACCCACTTTAAAACCCGTGTGCTTTAAGATCTTGTGATAATGTCGATTTTACAATTTTCAAATGAACTAAAATTTTACAATCTTCAAATGAACGTTAACTACGCTGCGCAGGGATTTTAATCTCTACTTACACAAGGCAATAATAAAGTGTCGAGTAGAAAGTGTTGTGAAATTAGTTATAAATGTCTGTTCCTAAAAGGCTACGCTTGTCAAAACTGTTTGGGGTGAGTGGTGCAAAACTAAAACAATAAGATACCAAAATTTGGGTGACAGTTTCTGGGAGTCAATAGAAGACACGTAACGCTCTTCACGTAACGCTTTTCACGGACTTTTCCTCATTATGAGCAGATGCTGATGATTGTCATGAATCTAATTGATAAAAGACGACTGAGTTCTACCTCCGACTTTCTCCAGTAAAAATAAAAACAGTCAAGGAGAATTTGAGAAATGGATTAATCTAAAAAACTTTGCCTTACGTTATACTGGGTCGTGATTTAAAATGTCGTAAAACTATCCTACCTGGTTATCAAACTATACTTTAACATCAAAAAAGCAAGGACAACAGTGCAGAAACTTTTAAATGCTTGGTTTTTTTTTAACCCAACTATACCTACGTCATAACACGTATAACACTTTAATAATATATTGAACAACCTGCTCTGTGTTTTGTTAAGTGATCCTTTTCCTGCGGAGGAAAGAATGTTTAAAAAAACGGCAACAACAAAAACACAAAACACAGAAAAACATGATTAAGATTTTGTTACTTCCTATTTCATATTATTTCTTGGTTTCTTTTATAATACGTCTCTGTTCCATCCAGGAACTATTTCCTAAAAAAAATATGAAGGTAGAATAAGTGGGCGCGAAATGTATAATCAAATTACATGGTTCGCGTTAAATAAGAAATAGACAGTGGCCAAGATCTTCGCAATTTTCTCGTCTCAGAAAAGTTAACATTAGGTAACATCGGCTGAAGCCGGATTGTTTCTTCCAGTAAAATTACATGAACAACATATTTAAAGTCCAACTTTACTGTGCAATATAAAATTAAAGACTGGGAACTGGGATGCATTGAACCCAAGTCATTTGCTTCATAACCTAGATTCATATCGACTGCACCATCGTGGACACATTTACTTACTTGCCGTATCCCATCACATTATTTGAAAGGTAACCGTTTTCAATTCAGTGCTTAACCCTAATCACTGCAGATCACTGTTTAAATCTTTAGTATGTTTGTCCACAACTAGGGCTCTGCAGTTTTTTTTATTAAGCAGTTTTACAAAGTTAGTACCGAAAGTTAGTGGGGTTCTGGTCCAGTACCGTTACTTCTTCTCCTATTAAGGTGTCCAATCTGACTTCACACGATGTTATCTAATGCTAACCCTTCAGGAACCGAGCTGAAATTTCTCATATGTATGAACAAGACGAAATCGGTCCCGGACCCGGGGGAGGGGAGGGGGGGAGGGTAGCCCTGTCAATAACCGAGATAATATGAAGAGGTCCTTAATCTCCAGGGGGATCCATGGAGAAGGCCACCCCTTCCTTTTGGACCTAACCGGTGGCCCACGGCCGCTCTTTCATTTTAAGAATATTCACCTTTCCCCACCGTTGTTATCCAGCCATCAACAGTTGTCGGTTTCTACAAAAACAGAGACATTAATGTCAGTAATCCGTTGAGTGCAGTACTTCTGGTAAGTGGAGATTCACAAAACGGACATGTCAAAAAAGGGGATGACGTAACTAATCCTCCATAGTGAAGACTCCGTGTCTAGTTAGAAAGATCGAGAATTTTTAATACGAATTATATACCTTAAGTTTGTTTGTTTCATTTTACCGAAGTAGGTCATGTCATGGTCGTAAGGACCAAGACGAAATCTGAAAGAAACAGTCCGCGATTGTGACATTATTCGTGTCCTTTGACCTGCTAACCGAACAAACTAGACATTCATTGTGTTAGTGGCGTTCGCTGTTATTGCTGGAAGTGCAATAACTTAGAGTTAGTGACCTAGAAACACCAATTACAATCATTTGTATATCAGTAGGAAGAAACTTAGTTATCAGAGGGACTGAATACAAGTATAGAGATGAAGCAAGCTGCACAGATTTCAAAAGTTTGCTAAAAATATAGGTATTAGTATTTGTCGTTCACAAATTCATTTATAGCGGCCTTCAACCCGTGTGCATAATGGTAAAGATTTTTTGCCTCGCTAGTGATCTCTAGAAAACGTTTATATCTCCTTAAACAATAGAAACAAAACATGAGTAATATGGTAGGAACCGGTTACTCTTTTGTTTGGGCTGGAATCTCAGGAAAGAGGACAGAAATACATTAACACCGATGTCAAAAGAAAAGAAATGCGGTGGTTGTGGTGGTGGAGGGAAAACAATAGAAAAGTAGAGATGCAAAAAGTGAGAGGAGAAAATGAAGAAAGATCGTTTTTGGTGGCAGAAAGAGATAGTTTGCCTTCGTGCTCAATAAATATGCACAATTTGTGCGCCAAGAATCAGTGAACCGGAACTTTAACAATCGTGAGACAATGAAAGCGGCAGGAAATAGAATTTGCATATATTACGTTAAGGCTAAGGATTCTAAGTCACGGGTCGCTTCATACCCAAATAAGGGCATGACGGACATAATTTGAAATTAACTATGACATCATCTATCTAAAAATAACTAAAAACCTGTCTAACCTGCATAACAAGTTAAAACCGGACAACGCTACGGGAGTCTAAGGCCCGGTTGAGACGCCGATCTATTCATGAGCCGAACCTGTTACATTGACTTAAGTACATGAAATATTCGGCGTCTGAATCAATTAGGAACGCCTATTTCTATGTGGACCGGCTCAGCCGTTCTTCACGCGTAGCTTGGCCGGGAATAGGGAGTTTAAGATACGGAGACTACGGACTACGAACTACGGCTGGACGAGCGTTGTCGTTTGTTTGTAGCACTGGATTGAGTCGTGCAAATATAGAACGTTAAGATTCCACTACAGACGGCAGACTACGAGAGAAGAGGCGGAGAGGGAAACAACACGCAAAAATTTTCTTGTTTTCACCACAGTTCACAAAAATGCAAGTCAGTTTTGCATGTGATCTTATCTTTAGAACAATGAACAAATTCTTCCATACTTGAAGGTATAAGTCGATTCGCGTACAAGTTGATTCGCCTACAACTTTACTCCTTGTTCCATCACCGTAGCTCGGGTGAAATTGGTAAACAAAGTTTTGGTTGCACAGGTTTTATTTTTTTCGCCCATGAATACTTATGTAAAATATTAAAGAAATAGACAGAAATAGTAATAGCTCATTTATTAGATTTAGAAGATGGACTTCTCCGACTACTGATCTGATGTAGTTTGAAGTATTGAAATGCCCAGTTTCGATTGTCTCGAAGATGTTTACATCATTTTCACTCAGCAAATGCGATACAAAAACTCGCATAAACAAAGGTCACACAAGTAGAAAGACACACTAATCAGTTCGAACAAACATTGAAACTTTTCAAGTGTGAAGAGAAAGTAAATTACCTGCATGATTTCTCTTCTCCTCGGCCATCAATCGGAATTCTGCGTATAAACAGCTAAGCTTCTTTAAATATGAGCTTGGCTAGATAAAAATGTAGTCACAACGGTGGATTAAAAGCGTAAATCTGAGCAGAAATTAGACACAACTTACATATTTCGCTTCCCTCTCACTTAAAGCAGGCAAATTGAACCTTTTTTACGAAAAGACGAGATTCTTGAATTGCCGAGACGGCAAAATACGAGCAAAATGTTCTCCGTAGTCCCGACTACGCGAAACAGCTCAACAACTCACCGTAGCCGCAGGACTACGCGGGAAAAATGAACAGTCACGTGGTTTTGATCATGCGCAGTAGCATGTTTATTCGTAGCCGTAGTCCGTAGTCGGAGTATCTTAAACTCCCTAATTTCGACTGTGGAACGACTTTGGAACGGCTTTGATTCAAACGCCGAACTTTTCACGAACCGAATTTAATGCATAAATTATGATAATGTATTTTGCAAGCAGTTTGATAAAAGTGAGCATTTTTCTCCTTTTAAATTTAGTGCAGCTGGAATTAAGAGCGGCGTCTGAATCAATTCAGGCGGTCTTAATAGTTTGGGTCGGCCTTAATTCGAATTAGGTTCGGCTCATGAGAAGTTCGTTGTCTGAACCGGGCCTAGGGTTTTAATTGTGTTAAGAATAACTCTTGGAGTACAAAAGATGGGAGATAATTAGATTCCTGCCAGTTTTACTCGTGAGATGTTATTCTTGAGATAAAGAAAAAAGCCTATGACGTCATCGGTGTTATTGTATTCCTGCCCAGAATAAGAGTAACCGGACCCCACCGTACTACTAACATGATCATTACGACAAGTGCCATCTGTAAAAGAATTTCAGAGAGAATTGTTCGGTACCTTTACAGCCGTAGACTTCCACTCTCATGGATATGTGACCATACGAGGCTGTCGGGCGGAAACGGATGTAGCGTGCCCCAGTGATTGGGTTGATTAGTGAGTGGAAAACAACAGAGTCCCGGTCGGCATTTCCAGTAAACTCCTAAATCAACACGATGCAAATTGCTGGTTTGCACATCACGTCACTGGGCCATGTTGGATGGCAAGAACAAAAGCATTTCTCTCCTCTGGGAACTTAACTCTATTTTCAGGTGAATTCTTAAAAAAAAATTCTATTGTATCGTCATCTGACATGGCCGCCTTGTCACGTGGTTGCAAACCAAGAATAGTTGAGGTCTTTCAGAGGCAGGTATCATTAAAGGGACTTTGCCAAGGCTGTCTATTGCACTGAATGAATATTGTCGATGTCGTCAACGCGTCTTTATTCGCAAAGGAATTCAACTTTAAATTTACTTCGTAAAGCATTTTATCAAAATCTACAAAAAACAGAAATGAACTGTTAGGCTAACGAGTTTTCAAAAACCCCAGTTGCAATCCTTTTAAGTTTTGATACTTTTCGGTGCCTTCTTTACTATTTGCTGTGTTATTTGTGCCTCAGGTTCTTTTAATGTTTTGCGATGTCATTTTTGTGTTTCACTCAATTTGGTGGCAGCTCTCACTTTTAAAGTTTGATAAATTTCGTGACACAGCTCCGTTAATTAAAAAATAAGTAGTGTATAAGAGTGAGCAGTGGCTTAAGTTTTGCCTTGAAACCCCTGAGAATGATAATTGTACAATGATAGGGAATATCACCTTTTCTGCCACTTCAGTGTAGTATTGAAAGTTTACACCATCGACACTGTACTGCAGTTTGTACTTGGTCACCCATTGTGAAGCACCATTCCTGCCTTGTGTTGACACAGCGGTTACTTTAGTTATTTGATCAAGTAAGTCAATCTGCAGCCACTGGTCGAGATTATTGTGTCTAGCTGACCATGATCCTTGTTTGCCGGAACCTGCCATAAAGAAGAGTCTGCCCTGGATGGCAGCATGTTTGGAATCCCATTCTGAAGAGGCACTGATCTGCCTGTCATAGATGTCACCACTTTTCATGCCAAGAGCTTGCTTACATTCTGCAGGAACAGGTAAAAGTACTGTTATTTTATTACGTTCACATGCACTATATATCTTGTAGCAAACGAGGATTAGGTCGTGCGATGGAATATTTACATTTGGAATTGCGGTCGCAGGTGAGTGTCACAGAAGTAGGGACGTTTGTACGAGTCAATAAACCAAAGTAACGAGGTTTATCAAGGTAATGGGTTGAACAGAGCGTGGGTCTGTATCTATTAAGAACAAAGTGGCAGCACATTATCGATAATGAATTTGAGGAGGGAGCAAAGAAATAGATTATATACCTTTGAAAAAAAGCCAACATAAAAAAGCAATAACTGCCCAACTACAACAAAATAGCAAAATATAAGATTCAGCCACTAGAGAAGGAGACTAAGGAAAGAGAACCTTTTGTACCTAGACAGCCGTAGACTTCCGCCCTCATAGATATGTGAACATACCAAGCTGTTGGGCGGAAACGAATGTAGCGTGCCTTAATTGAATTGCTCAGTGAATGGAAAACAATAGTATCCTGGTCTGTGTTGCCAGTAAACTCCTAAATCATCAAGATAAAAATAATGCAAAATTGTTAACCTCAAGGCAATAAATTATCACGTGTTATATCTGAATGATAATTTGTAAATAGTGGTAACGTCTTACCACGAACAAAAGCCAAAGATTTTGCCCATTAATTTGGGCATCATGAACGTCAAGTGATTAATTACCGATCGATTGTAAAAAAAGGTTTTTGACAATTTTATCAGTGGTAGCACTTAAAAAAGAAAGAAAAAACGAAAAGAAAATCAATAGCTCATGTAAAAAACCCATACAGAAAAACTAGCAATTGGGTCATGCTACAGTGTGTCCATAACGATATATTAGCCAAGCGGGAAATTTCGATATTCAACAATTAGTGAGGCAATCACCAGAACTCCCAGTGGGCAAAAGTGTGAATAGAAGTTAAAATGTATTGGCCATTGAAGTTTGCCCAAATGATATTCTCTGAAAGTCTCACCAGAGAACAGAGAGGTAGACTATATTACCTTTTCAGCGCCTTGTTCCACGTAATACTGAAAATTTATCCCGTCGACACTGTACTGCATTTTGTATTTTGTCACCCACTGGGAGTGAGCATTTCTGCCTTGTGTTGCCAGACCAGTTACATCAGTGTTTGGATCACCCAAATCAATCTGCAGCCACTGATTGACGTTATTGTATCCGGATGACCACCCTCCTTGTTTTCCGGAACCAGCCTTAAAGTTTAATCTTCCCTGGATGGCGGCATGATTATTATCCCATTGTGAAGAGGCACTGATTTGTCCATCAGAGATGACATAGCTTTCCATACCAAGCGGATCTTTGCATGCTTTAAGTCAACATAAAGAGTTCGTATTTAAATTTAAGAGAAGATAGAGAAAACGATGCAGTCGGATTGACTATAAAATGACTAAAATGTAACAAGTGACGTCTTTTGTCAATAGTAAGCAGCAAAGGTTGTCTGAAGCCATCATGACATCTGCCATTACTTTACTTTAAAACAAAAACAAAAGGAAAAGAGAGTACATTCGATCCTCCACTAACCACCACCTCAACACAACGGTGACTTTTATTTTCGCTCGAGGAAAAAAAAAGTAAAGAAGCCAATCGTTGGCTGCAATTCATAAAATTAACTTGCTGAAGTTTTATGATTTAAAGCTTAAGGGTAATGGTGGTTACTAAGGGAACTAGAAAGTAGGAGTAATCGCTTTGCATCTTTCAAAATTTTTTTTATGGCGGAGCTCCGACCAAATAGTCGTCCGGATCGTACAAATAATTAGGAGCACTACCTAAAGGTCTTAGTTCGCACCAGCTCATAACTTTCCTTTCCCAGTGAAAGAGCCCGTGTATGCTAGTAGTGTATTGTTTATGCTCTCTCTGTAGTAATATAATGTCCGTTTGTAGAGGTCGCAGCAATAGGTTTTTTCTTTTTTTTTCTTTTATCGTGTGTGCCGTCTGTATAGTTTTCGTTAGTTACATCCTTGCTTGGCTTTTATAGATATTTGTTAGGTGGATGGTTTTTCAATGCAGAATAATAGTAATTGGTTTTCACCATTATAATTCTTAAATATATGTTCATTGAATGTTAGAGGCTTATCAGGGCAAGCTAAACGAAGAGAAATGTTTAATTGGCTAAGGGAGAAAAATTTCCATGTTTTTTTTACAAGAGATTCACTGTACGAAGGAAACCTGTGATTTATGGCAAAATGAATGGGGTTATAAAGCTTTTTTTAGCTGTGAAAATAGTCGAAGGGCGGGTGTGGCCATTCTGTTTAAAAATAATTTAGATTTCGTTTTAAACAAGGATTACGCAGACCCAGATGGTCGTTTTATCATTTTAGACATTAAGACGGCAGAGTTATGTTTTACGCTTGTTAATCTTTACGCTCCAAATAAGGATGACCCCTATTTCTTCCAAAATGTTAAAAACCGAATACTTGAATTTGATTGCGATAACAGCATCTTGGGTGAAGATTTTAACTTGATTAAAAATGCTAAATTAGACAAGGAAGGTGGCATTCTCGGCACCTCGCACCCGAAAGCGCTCACCGAAGTAGAAAAAATTCAAATTAACCTTGACCTAGGCGATATCTGGCGTGACCAAAATCCCCTTGACAAGAGATTTACATGGAGGAAGCGTAATCCATCTATATCCTGCCGACTTGACTTTTTTCTTTTAAGTCGTCATCTCTATGGTAAAGTGGCCAAGTCTGATATCGTAGCTGGGTACAAAACCGACCACTCTATGATAAGCCTCAGCTTGGGTCTTACCGAAAACATCAGAGGCCCTGGGCTATGGAAACTTTACACCTCTTTCCTGTCAGACGAAGAATATTTAAAATGCATCAAGAAAGTCATCCTTAAAACATGTGATGACTACAAAGACGACAAGGATGTGGATGATGCCTTGCTGTGGGAGATGATTAAACTTAAGGTTAGAGAGTCATCAATTTTTTACGGAAAAGAAAAAGCTAAGTCCAGGCGAACGGACGAAACCAAACAATACGATACGATCACCTACCAAGAGAAAAAAATAGATGGCACGATGTCCCCCATTTTAAAAGGGGAATTGGAGCAAAAACTGGTTGAGGCAAAAGAGAACTTGGAAAAAATGTACGAATATAAAACCCAGGGAACTATCTTACGGTCCAAAACCCGCTGGTATAACGAAGGTGAAAAAAATTCAAAATACTTTTTCATCTTAGAAAAACGTCACTTTAAGCGCAAAGTTATAAGTCAACTTTGTCGAGCTGACAACACAACTTTAACATCCGATAATGATATTCTCCAAGAATGTGTTGACTTTTATAGTAAATTATACAGCAGCAGATCAATACACAATGAAAGCGATAATCTCCAGTTTTTCCCAGATGATAATTTTGTGCGGCTCGACGAGAATTCCAAAGCATCCTGTGAAGGTCTTTTAAATGTGAATGAATGTCTAAATGCCCTCAAAACGATGGAAGCAAACAAGTCGCCAGGCTCAGATGGGTTTCCAGCAGAATTTTAAAAGGTATTATGGAGTGACCTTGCCCCCTTTTTAGTGAATGCTATTAATTGCTCTTTTCAAAAAGGGCTACTATCGGTGACGCAGCGACAAGGTATTATTTCTCTTTTACCAAAGAAGGACAAAAACCCTCTTTTTCTAAAAAATTGGAGGCCAATTTCTCTTCTAAACTGCGATTATAAAATCGCTTCTAAAGCGATAGGTAATCGAATAAAGCGGGTTCTTCCTAAAATTATCAATGGTGATCAAAGTGGCTTCTTGAAGGGACGTTCTATTGCAGAAAATATTTTTCTAATTGACAGTATTATAAATTACGCAGGTAATATGAATAAACCTGGTTTATTGATGTTCATTGACTTTGAGAAGGCATTTGACTCGATAGAGTGGGCTTTTATAGAAAGAGCCCTTAACTATTTCAATTTTGGGCCCTCTCTAGTGAACTGGTTCAGATTATTTTATAATCAGGTCTCCAGTGTTATCCAGAACAATGGATGGGTCTCGGAGAGCTTTTCTTTAGGTAGAGGGGTTAGGCAAGGTTGCCCGATGTCGCCATATCTATTTATAATATCGGCCGAGATATTAGCCAACTTCATTAGGAGAGATAAAGATGTAAAAGGTTTTATGACGGGTGAAGTCGAACACAAGCTAAGCCAATTTGCTGATGACACGACGTTGATACTCGATGGCTCAGTGGGCTCTTTTCGTAGAGCAATCGAGGTTCTAGATGGGTTTCAAGTGATTTCTGGCCTTAAGGTAAATTACGAGAAAACCAAAGTGCTCTGGGTGGGTTCGGCAAAAAACAGAGGCCCTATAGAGTGCAACAAGCCTGATATCTCCTGGGTGGAGGGGAAAGTCTTTGCATTAGGTGTGTGGTTCGCAACGGACAGAAACGTAATGCTCCGTTCTAACTACGATGAGAGGATTGGGAAAATAAAAAACGTTATTGAAACATGGCAATTTAGGAGACTCACCTTATTGGGAAAAATCACTCTTATCAAAAGTCTTCTGGTCTCTCAACTCATTTATATTTTGACTCCGCTCCCTAGTTATACAAACGCACTGCAAACGGTCAACAAACTTCTTTTTGAGTTCCTTTGGGACGGTAAAGGCGACAAGATTAAAAAAAGAGAGCATATCATAAGGGATTATGAGCAGGGTGGTTTGAGGATGATTGATATACATACGTTCAATAAGTCTCTCAAAGCATCCTGGATCAAGAAGTACCTTGACCCGACAAATAATGGAAGATGGAAGTTTTTCTTTGACGTTAATCCTAAAATGTATGGTGGGAAATTTATTTTCTCTTGTAATCTACACAAAGATGACATTCCACTGTTAAAAATACTTAATCCTTTTGTATTTGAGGTCATGTCAATCTGGGCGGAATTGCATTTCTCTGATGCTGTAGCCATCTCCATTGCAAATGTGGGCGATCAGATTATTTGGCTTAATTCATTGGTAGGAATTGACAATCAGCCTGTATTCCGTAAACACTGGATGGACCATGGTGTCTGCAAAATTTCTCATCTATTAGATGAGGGTGGGAACCTCCTCGGATATGATGCCATGAAATCAAATTTTCAGGAGTTAAATTGGTTAGAATATTGTAGTATAGCTTCAGCAGTCAAATCACTTATAAATAAGGTGCAAAATGAACTGACGTACGAGGTTGTTTCCACCGAGGGAACATCTATAACTGAATTAACATCTAAAAGTAAAGTTAACAACTTTATTTATAAGTCGCTACTGAGAAAAAGAATCTCCACACCCATTAGAAGCCAAGAGAAGTGGCTCAGTGACCTTCAAGTCGAAAATGCAAGTGATATTGATTGGAAAAATGCATACACAATCGCTTTCCACTGTACGGCTTCTACAAAATTAAGAACTTTTCATTATAAGTTACTGCATTGGAGGATTGCTACCAATGATTTTTTAAAGAAAATTAATTTAAAGCAATCGGACAAATGCTCTTTTTGCCAAAGGGAAATAGAGTCTATATCTCATCTATTTCTGAGATGTTCGGCAACAATTGCTTTTTGGAACGATCTTAAACAATTTTTAATTCAAAAGGGCCTCAAGAGTACTGCACTAACCGATTTGCATCTGACGGGACTCTCTAAATTTGCACCCTCTACCGCCATTGATCTCGTTCTTCTTATTGGGAGATATCATATATACTCGAGCAAACTTGTAGGTACGTCTCCCTCCATGACTCTTTTTAAGGGCAAACTAAATTCCGTCATTGAGATGGAAAAACAAGAAGCACTCCGCTGTAATTCTTTCACCGTCTTTTCAAACAAATGGAAATTTTTTCTTATTTAAATTTGTTGATTGCACTGGTTACCCTCTAGCTAATCGCTTTGACTTAGCCATGTCCTGCAAAGTTGAGGCATCCACCGTCCACCGTTCACCGTCCTTCCTTTTATTGTAAGTAACTAAGCGAATTCAAGCATAAATGTAACCTCAGCTATTTTTATGTTTGTCTCGTCAAGTTGTAATATGTATACGTTTTGTGTGATGTAAATTTAGCTCAAATAATAAATTAAATTCAAAAAAAAAAATTTTGATTCCTAAAAATAGCTTTTGCAAGACTGTATGTACTTTTATGGTCACGCAAATAAAGCTCGTTGTTGTTGTTGTTGTTGTTGTTTTTGTTAAAAGGGAACGCAAAGGGAACGCACCAACAAGGTATATCTTTGCTGAAGCATGACTACTTGCTGCACGTGCAAAGTTGTCTTTTTGCTAATTAGACCTACTTATTTTTTTGGCTGTTTTTGTTGCCGTCGCCGCTTAGCATTACACGATTTTATATTTTGTTTGAGTAAACTATAGGATTGATATTAACGAGAGCTTCGTTTTAACCCTGGCTAAATCTACATATTATATTTTGTTTTGCGATGCACACATTCGTACGCATAGACATTATGGTAGTTCGTCCCCCTGTTGAGGTGCGAATTCGCCACTTGCACATCTTCCATAATGCACCTTATTTGCCCCCCCCCCCCAATTTTACATAACGTTTGTTTTTCATTTCTCCTTGGTATTACAGCCGTTCCAAGAGAAATTGGAAACAACGCTTATGCAAAATTTTGGGGGGTAAATAAGGTCCATTATGAGAGAGGCGCAAGTGGTGAATACTTCGCAGAACTGCGGCTCATTTCGTAGTCATAATCAAAAGTGCTCGACAGTTTTACCCGAGTTCTGATACAAGGTAGCTCTCCTCATAACTAGGATAATAATAACTAAGAAATCGAGGTCTCGAGACTTAGTCACTTGGGATGTCTGTTATTTTGCATATCTAGGCCGGATTTGTACTTCAAAAATCTTGCAATATATTATTTATTGAGTATTTAATATATAACACGATTTTTATGCCGCATATAACATTTTACAACTACTCAAAAAGTAGATTTAAAAACCATCACAAACCAACCGACTGTTATCTTCCCATATGGAACCAAGCGACCTTATTCGCTTCGATCATAGGCAACTTTCATGTCTTACTTTTGCAGGGCAAAGAGATCTTTTAAACCATACCCAAATGAGCTCGATGTTGTCAAACAGACCAGAGAAATCATGTTTGTAACTTCGTCCGGAAAATTTCAATCTTGTTACATGATTCCTCGGGAGGGTACTCAACCAATATTTGGGTATAGGCAAACAGTTGAGGGTTTGAAACCTTGACCCTGTTTAGGACAAAAAAATCCTAAAATACACATCCTGCTTAGGACAACACCCTCAATTTTATTGCCATGATTAGAACCAAGGACAAAATTCCAGAAAATTCGCTTTAAAGTCAATGCTTTTCTATACTTGAAGTACAAACAGATTTCATATAGTAAATCAAATCAATCATACAGGCAATACCCAGTTTTCAATTAGGACAGACTCGCACGAAATAAGACAGAGAAGACAAAAGCCATACCCTGCCCAGCCGAACATCCCCTGAAGGCCATATAAGGGAGTATACCCCGCGGGAATTACCTAGGCCAATCCTCGGGGTCTTCGCAAAACCCTTTCCACCGAAGTGAAGCCTAGAAAAGAATATGTTGGAAAAGGGGAAGCAATAGAAACGGGGAGGAGAGAAAACCAGAGGGAAAATTTGCCTCCAAACCTGGCAATGACAGCCATCACTGATAAACAATCTAGGAGTCGCTTTGCACTTAAGCAGGCAAAGAAATAATTTTCATAATTAACACCGTTTTTTTATCAAGCTCATGGACGTCACAAGTGGCTGGTAGTGTAATTTCCAGCAATATGCAAATAAGGGAGCGTTGCCCTCAACAATCAACTATAAACAATCAAATACTACTTGGAGATCGTTGGTCCTACTAAACCTGGTTCCCAAATTTCATGTTGTCTCAACGTTTCAGATCTATGTATCGCTGTGATATGCCTAATGAGGCCTCCAGTATGTTTTTCGCTGGTCTGCGACCTGTTGACTTATAAATGATGTCTTTGGAGACACCTTATTGACAGCGATAAATTTGTAATAAAGGTGATGAGAGCTTCAATGAAATCTCAGTTAATGGTGCTATAAGACCTACTTACGTCAGTAGTATAGTACTGACTAGGGATAAGACGGCAAAACCGCCCACAAAACACATTTTAATAATAAGGAAAAGACAAAAGCCTACGACGTCAACAGTGTTCACCTATTCCTACCCTCCTAAATGAGATTCCTGTCCCCCCTCCCCACCAAAAAAGGATAATTTGGTTTCTTTTATACTTGTTCAGTTCTCTATACTTTAAAAGTGAATTTTTTTGATAAATGTAATCAAATCGCAATGCGAAGTAACAATTCCCGAGCCCCCAAATACCTTTTTCCAGTTGGGAACCTTTTTATTCGATCTGTATTAGTAGAGTAGTTCACTGGATGCAGCTCGCGATGTGTCGCTTGAGGGCAACAGTAAGGTTCATTTGAAAGTTGTAGCCATCGACGCTGTTACAAGATCTTAAACCCACCTTAAAAACCCGTGTGCTTTAAGATCTTGTAACAACATCGACTTTACATTTTTCAAATGCACTGAAAACTGAAATTTTACATTTTGTTCATTTTTACAAATTTTAGGTAACTACGTTGCGCAGGGATTTTAATCTCTATTTACACAAGGCAACAATAAAGTGTCGAGTAGAACGTGTGGTGAAGTTAGCTACATATGTAATGTTCCTTAAAGCTCGGCCACGCTTGTAGAAACTGTTTAGCGTGAGTGGTGCAAAACTAAAACAATAAGATACCAAAATTTGGGTGACAGTTTCTGGCAGTCAATGGAAGACACGTAACGCTTTTCACGTAACGCTTTTCATGGAGTTTTCCTCATTATGTGCAGATGCTGACGATTGCCATGAATCTTATTGATAAAACACGACTGAGTTTTACCTCCGACTTTCTCCAGTAAAAATAAAAACAGTAATCAGTCAAGAAGAATTTGAAAAATGAATTGAGGTAAAAAACCTTGCATTAGGTTGTAGATGATAATTCTTAAAGGCTCTAATGGTAGGATATTGTAATTTTTAGGCAGTTTCGGGCAAAAATAAAAGCCATTCAACACGTAAATGCTTGCGTGATTTGATTCAGACTGTCTTGTTGTCATTTTTTTGATGGACGTTTTTATTTTCTCAATGCCCTCCAATGTGATAATAACAGTAAAAAGAGTTTATGTTCTTGGGCATAAACATGTTTTGGGCGATGGAAGGTACAAGTGTCATAACTGGACCCAACGGTCCCATCTGCAATAACATTTGGACCCAAGCGTAATAAAGGTCCCATTTGTAAAATCGCCACGTCACGAGTCCTTCGCAGTTCAGTGGTTAGAGCATCCGACCGTTGTACGAAAGGTCATAGGTTCAATTTCCGTCGGTGACTCAGATTTTTCCTTTTTTCTTTGTCCCGTGCTCGTGACATGTTGAGTGGCCCGTTCTTATTTATATGCGTGTTGGTTATGTTTTTGATTCGCGTTTTTCAGAATGAAAGATTCAACCGATTTCTATGATTTCTGGCATACTAAACAGATAATAATGGAAATTCAAGAAAATGTTATTTTTTTTTGTAGGTATAAAAACTTTTGAGATATCGGCATATATCCCACGACAGATTTTTCCCTGACTTCAGCAAATAAGCTTCAGAGCTCTCTAATTTTAAATCTGCAAGTTTGAAGGCAATTGTGACCGTAGAACTCGCTCCACAAAATGCTGGTCAAATTTAACCTTGACACACGAATGGAGGTAGCGTGCCGATAGACTATCTCCTATCTGAAAGGATATTCCTATCTAAAGCTTTATTGCAAGAAACAGAGTAATCAGAAACCTACGGCGAACATAGTTAGTACTACAAGAAGAACAACTTTATACTGAGTGCGTGGTAATATTAAAGAACTTCTATTCATCAAACTTACGTTGTATTTGTCGAAGATGAAAATCATTTCTTACTAGATTGTAAGGCTTATTCTCAGATCAGAGACATATTTTTCTCGAAACTAGAAACTAAAATACCTGACTTCAAATCACTTTCACACGATACTTTAATATCTCTTCTTATGAATTCTTCTGATTATTTAATTAACTGTCAATTAGTTTCATTTATCTCGCAAGGCTTTGAATTAAGGACCAAATTAATATCAATGAATGAATGAATGAGAACTGTCACGTTTTGTAATGTTTTGCACGTACTAATTAGTTGAATTAGTACTTAAATTTAAACTAATAGCTTTTGCAATACTGTAATTCCTTTATAGTCATGCAAATAAAGCTTTTGGTGTTGTTGTTGTTGTTGTTGTTGTTGTCCCCCCTCTTTTCGAAACAAATCTTAATGAAGCAAAATATAGCATCTACGAAAACCTCTCAAGAGTTTTTAGCGTCGCAGGTTCCCGTTCTGAAGAGAAATAAGGCCACCAACGCCAGTACTTCTAACCACCCAGCTTCAATGAAAACCTTGTATTTGGTAATTTATTCAAGCTTTTTAAACTTGCCATCACATTCGCACGGGAAGTTTACCACTTGGGAATAAAGATGAAGACAAATATGACAACCGTCTTATTCTCCTCATCATCCCCAACAGCAAACGGCCCGTGCGAATGTGATGGTAAGTTTTAAAAGCGTGAATAAATTACCAAATATAAGGGTTTTCATTGCAGCTGAAAAATGGATGGTTAGAAGTACTGGCGTTGGTGGCCTTATTTCTCTTCAGAACGGGAACCTGCGACGCTAAAAACTCTTAAGAGTTTTGCGTAGATGCTATATTTTGCTTTGTTGAGATTTGTTTTCAAAAGAGATGAATAGAAGTTTTTTAATATCACTGCGCACTCAGCTTAAAATTGTTCTTCTTAAAGTGCTAACTGTATTCGCCGTAAGTTTCTGATTACTCTGTTTCTTGCAATAACGCTTTAGGTAGGAATATCCTTTCAGATAGGAGATAGTCTGTCGGCAGTCTTCCTCTATTCGTGCTTCAACTTTCACAAATGTGTTAGCGTACCATTTTAAGGTTAAATTTTATCAGCATCTTGTGCAGCGAGTTCTACTGTCACGATTGGTTTCAAACTTGCAGATGTAAAACTAGAGAGCTCTGAGGCTTATTTGCTGAAGTTAGGGAAAAATCTGTCGGGGGATTTCGAAGTTATTTACATTTTTCGTAAAAATGGGGTTTTAAATATATGCCGATATCTCAAAGGTTTTTATACCTACAAAAAAATAAATAACACTTTCTTGAAGTTCCATTACTATTTATTGCAGATGCCAGAAATCACTGAAATCGGTTGAATCTTTCATTCTGAAAAACGCAAATCAAAAACAGCCAAATAGGAACGGGCCACCTTAAAATTTACCATCTTTCTTTATTTACTTAATAATGACGTCAATAACATCATTGTGTTAATCTATTTATACTTAGGGCATTTGGAAATGTTGGGTACATTAATCCCTGTAATTTTGGTGACTGTATCATGAGCGGTTTTAAATGAACTTCTAGAAGAGGACCTCCACTAAGGTACTTCCACTAAGCCCACTAGTTACCACAAATTTTGCACAGTGCACAGTGCACAGTGAATATTATTTACTCACCTCTAGTCGCGCAGATCTCAACAGAAGTCACTGCTTCTACGTTAAACACACCCGCACTTGTTGCAGCACAAATGTAATTCCCTGCATCCTCTTTCCTTAAATTTGTTATAACTAAAACTCCATTAGTCTGCCTGCTCCGCCCGGTTGGAAGCTGTGCTCCTTGTTTTCGCCAGCTAATGACAGGTCGCGGATCACCAGTAGCGCTGCAATTCAGTGTCAAACGAGATTTCCCATGGGCAACAAGCTTTATCGGTGGCTTGACAATAAATCGAGGCATGGAGACCACAACTATGTGAGTTCTTTTTACAACAGTTCCTAGCAAATTAGTTGCAGTGCAGAGGTAGTTATCAGAATCAGCTTTACGGACACTAAGTAGTTTGATGACACTTTTATTACTCTGTACTCTCCCCTGCGGTAGCTGACCAAATGACTTGCTCCACGTGACCACTGGTGACGGATGACCAGTTACATGACACACTGGAAGAGTGACATCACTTCCCTCCAGGAAGTGAAAAGGTCCTGCATTAAGGGATATAGCGGGGCGAACTGTAAAATAAAAAGGTGGTTTTTTGCTTAATGGCACACCGTTAACCTTCTATTTATTCCTTGGGAGACTTTTTTGTTTTTTGTTCTGACTAAAAGCCGGGGACAGATCGACATTTATTCTTGCCATGTACAATCACAAAATCGGCACATCCACGCTTACGGAAATATCAGTAGCAAGTCCACAAACTCACCATTTACTTCTAGTTGTCCTACTGCGTGCGCTTGTCCCAAGATGTTTACCGCTGAACAATTGTACACACCCGCATCACCCCCTTTTATGTTCCGTAAATGTAAAATTCCTCCAGAAACTGCTGACTGTCTTATTTTTGACTGGCTGTTCAGTTTACTCCATATTACAGTAGGTTTAGGATTCCCAGTAACTGAGCAATGAAACGACGCTGATTCGCTCTCGTTCACAGTCAACCTTGTAGGAGAAACAGCAACAGTAGCAACTGAAATCGATTCACCAGGCTCTCCTTTAGATCCCGGCATGCCTGCAGGCCCAGTGTCTCCTTTTTGACCTTTAGGACCAGCTTCGCCAGCCGGCCCAACAGGTCCCATGATGCCTTGCTTGCCACTTTTTCCTGGTGATCCCATAATTCCTTGATCTCCTTTGTTTCCAGGCTTCCCTCTCTGTCCTCTTCGTCCCCGGGCTCCTTTCCCTCCTCTCAGTCCAGGTCGACCTGGAGGCCCTGGGGGACCTGGTGAACACGAGACACCATGTGATTGACAGATGTGCGGTCTTAGCTCCGATAAAAGTTTGTTGATTTTACGGGTGGCATTCACTGAATTCACCTGACGCCTGTCTCTGAGGAGTTCAAGGGACTGAAGCCCTGAAATCAAGCAAAACAACCCTGAATGTCTTTATCTTCAACATCTTCATGATTAATAGAACATATTGATTAACTCATTGAGTGGGAGCTAGTTACTAGTATGATGATTGACAGCGTCGGGGATAATAATCAAGAAAATGGTTTAGGTGAACCGGCCGTGAAACGTAAATTCAAAGCATTTAATCTTTATTAGTGTCCTAAACGTGTTTTTAAAAAGTCCTAAAAGACACTTTTCTCAGTGTGGACGATTTGCATACTAACTACAGTAAATTTCCGCTGGTTATCTATTTATAATTTTTCTTAGTAGCTAATTAACGTTCTTTCAAGATCGTCACTGATGAAACTCGTCGAGCAAAGAACAATTTATAGATAATCACAACCATACTTATGAAAACACAGAAAATACAGCGGGAGATTTTCCTTTTTAGAAAGCAAACAAAGTTATAAATCCTCAAGGATAAAGACCTCAGAGAGATTTAATCAGGAAAAAATAACATTTTTCTCTCACCCCATAATGATTACACAAGGAACTCGGCCGCCTTTAATTCTCAGGCTAATATTCCCGGCGGTACTCACTATGATAGGGGGGAGGCTCCGCTCGAAAGCACTATCTTTTTCAGGCTTTAGGTACATGAAAGGGTAGGGATTTCACTAGTTGAAGTATATAAAAGGGTAGAGAAATCTGCCTTTTGGGTCCGTTAAAGGGCCCAAAAGGACTAACAGATGATTTCTAGCCTTTATAAAGTCGAGAAAACATCCTATTTTTGTGATTGATTCCTATTTAATAGACATTGTGTTTAGAGCAGTTAAAAGGGGTGTAAAGTTCTAAAAAAGGTATGTGAAAGGGGTACCATTTGTCAATAGAAACTATATACGAAGGGGGTACCTTTTTCGTGAAAAATGGTATATTTAAGCAATAGACCACACTTGCTATGGGTTTACCGGCGTGATAACACTCGAAAAGCTTGTAAATCACTCGCCTTCGACTAGTGATTTACAAGCTTTTCTCGTGTTCTCCCAACTGGAACATCCCACATGGGTTATCACGCCAGTAAACCTTTAATTTTTCTATGAGTTTACCGGCACAATAAACCATAGGTTTTTCACCAATCAGAACACTCGTACTATCTCAGTTATTTTATAAAAAAGGGTAAGGGGTTGGACCTCAGGGCGGAGCCTCCCCGTTTTAACATTTGTTGAGTACCCCCGCCCCTCGGGCAAATATCTAGCTGCAGTTACGATAAATCAATGGTCTAAAGCATAAATATTTTATCATATTGAGCTAAAAATTATTTGGAATCGGTTTGATCTTTAAAAGAAGAAATGCGTAATAATCCCTGAGAAAGAAAATAATTAAATTTGTGCTTGTGATTACATTTAAAATGGGCTACTTTTTAAAATCAACCTTTTTGGGGTTCTTTGTTGTCCACAAAAGATTTGTTTCGTTTGTTGGCAACCGGAATTATAGTTAAGTACAAGGAGCTTATCATAAAGCTAACATTAAAAATCTGAAAAATTCCGCCCAGTAAAACACAGTGACAAAATAACAAGGAGTATTTGCAAAGATGAACGAAGTGAAATGTTGCATTAAAGTTGACAATTTTGCGAAATTAAGGTTCTTAAGTTCGAAAAAATCGTGTTATGCTGTGAGAAAGTGGCCCCTGAGAAATATTATACTGGGAAATCATTTGCGATGCTTATTATGTGACCTGCTTTACAGATACATTGGATGCGAGGTACCCC